GCTTGCACGGCGGTCCGGCGTCGTCATCTGAAACAGACGGTAAAACCCTACAGACGGTATCAGATCCAGTAGACGCCTCTGCATTACCTACCTCGACTCCAGCGCCAGAAACAGCAGGTGCCGAATCCGCACCATCGTCAGTCGACGAGTCATCGCTCCATGAATCTTCACTGGACGAGTCATCGCTCCATGAATCTTCACTGGACGAGTCATCGCTCCATGAATCTTCACTGGACGAGTCATCGCTCCATGAATCTTCACTGGACGAGTCATCGCTCCATGAATCTTCACTGGACGAGTCATCGCTCCATGAATCTTCACTGGACGAGTCATCGCTCCATGAATCTTCACTGGACGAGTCATCGCTCCATGAATCTTCACTGGACGAGTCATCGCTCCATGAATCTTCACTGGACGAGTCATCGCTCCATGAATCTTCACTGGACGAGTCATCGCTCCATGAATCTTCACTGGACGAGTCATCGCTCCATGAATCTTCACTGGACGAGTCATCGCTCCATGAATCTTCACTGGACGAGTCATCGCTCCATGAATCTTCACTGGACGAGTCATCGCTCCATGAATCTTCACTGGACGAGTCATCGCTCCATGAATCTTCACTGGACGAGTCATCGCTCCATGAATCTTCACTGGACGAGTCATCGCTCCATGAATCTTCACTGGACGAGTCATCGCTCCATGAATCTTCACTGGACGAGTCATCGCTCCATGAATCTTCACTGGACGAGTCATCGCTCCATGAATCTTCACTGGACGAGTCATCGCTCCATGAATCTTCACTGGACGAGTCATCGCTCCATGAATCTTCACTGGACGAGTCATCGCTCCATGAATCTTCACTGGACGAGTCATCGCTCCATGAATCTTCACTGGACGAGTCATCGCTCCATGAATCTTCACTGGACGAGTCATCGCTCCATGAATCTTCACTGGACGAGTCATCGCTCCATGAATCTTCACTGGACGAGTCATCGCTCCATTAGTCGGGGGCAACGTTGACGGGCATGACGATAAAGCGGTTGTACTTACGGGAAACAATACTTTTTTTTTTCTCCCCAAGTAGCGCACGTGCGTTCAATGCCGAAGCCAGCAGCCGACTGAGCTCTTCTCTCTCTCCCTTTCACTCAAGCAGTGACGTCACCACCAGCGCCCGCCAATGAGGCCCACTCTCGCTGTCAGAACAGGAGCTGGTTGGCCAAACGAGTCTGGTGAGGGCAACCACTGGAAAGGCTGGCGCTGCGGGTCGCGCTGACGCAGCAAACGATCACACGTGACACGTTCATGCAGTCGGTCAGTTGTAGCACGCTCTCCTTTCAACCCCAAATCAGATAATTTTCTAGCTAACCAGTTTTTTTTACCGCACGTTACCACCAGTGCTGGACACAATTTAGTGAGTCTATAATGGTCCAGCCTTTCCAAAACGCCACCGCAGCGATACACTTGCCTCACGAAATTGAAATTGGCGAAACAAATAATGCTCTGGTCTTTAAGTGGCAGCCACTTTTTTTTGCGCATCCGTGCATTCGCTAAGAATCTGCGTCTCTTATTAGATTTAAATATCCCGTATGTATTGAAGAATTGCAAAATATTACCGTGCACCCTTACCTTGATAAATACGTAGCACAACTAGCTGCAATATGACGTTTTTTTTTATTTTGAAACTACTTTCACTAGTTAAACGCCGGAAGGCCTCAAAGTGCTGTCACTAAGTCTTGTTCAAACTTGAGTGCGACGACGTCTATTCCTCTTTATAGTTACGTCCCTCAGTGCATCGACCTGCATTCCATCCAATGCGTTGCTGATGCAGCATTTGCGAAAAGACTTGCGCAAAATATCTTCCGTGAAAGAATTTCTTGCTGACGACACTCAACCAAAAACAGTCGCGGGGCGGTGGACGTCGTATAAGCGCCCAGCATCCACTTATTGTAGAGTTCGCGCACGCAATCTTGCAAGGTGTTTTTGGGCACTACGCACAAAGGCTGGAGAATTCCGCGTAGACGTGGCGATTGTATCTGATACATTAGCGCTGTGCTTAGGGGAAAAAAACGAGAACCAGCGGCGAACATCTTACCACACCATTTCTTCGCATGCACGAAACAAAGAATCCAGTGTTTAAAATGCCGAGTGAATCTGACGTTAAGGCATCTCAAAAAGGGCATGTAGTCTCTGCGGGAGCAGAGCATAGTGAAACCCCTTTGGTTTTCACACTCATGCACCATGCAGACGGCGCAACGACGTTACAAACGTTTAACATTGCGAATGTACTTGGCGGCGTATATAGTGTGCAGGATCTGCCCGTTACCAGCTCCTGCATTCCCATTGGCAATTTAGCTTTGCTTCGAAGGTTCCTGGATTATCCGTACGCAGTTGCTGCCGGCACTTGGCCTACCGGGCTTGTTTTTTGTGCCCGGACTGCAGCATCAGCCCGCCGAATGCGAGCTGTCTCACCTTCTCACTTCCGGCATTCTTCTCGAGTTGTCCGTGGCTCACCCATGTGGAAGGTTACAGGAGAAGCTCTCGAACACGCTCGCCTACCATAACTGTCTATCAAACAGTTAGTGTACCCCGGGCGTACCGTGATAGCGTGAAGTGTGCATGCGCAGATACGTATATGTTACCCGTACCACTTACTGTACGTGCACTATTTAACGACAAACATGGTGACGCTCTGGGATGCCCGCTTTGAAGTGACGTGGTTGTTGAAAGATTCACTTTGTTTGCAGCAAACGACTGCTTAAAGTGCCTTCGCTTGCCTTCAGTTAGCTTCTACGATAGAGCATACAATTAAGTTGGCACAGTCTCTGAGATTGCTGCCCATTTCTAACGTGTTTAGGCCTAACTACAACATCAATGTAAACAAATCGGAAACCTGGAGTTTTTAGCATTTGGTGCGTTGTTCCTATTTATTTACTTTCATTATTAATAAAATCAACGTGTAACAATACTTCGCGCGGTAACACAGGCTGATAATCTCGTTGTAATATCCGTCTCACTTTTCTTATTCATAAACACTTTGATAGGTGGCGCCACCATCCCGTCCGGGGAACGTAAATGCTATACCGCTAAACTATAGGGCACTGTCCGCGATTAATGTTTCCTGCACGGTAACGTCATTCCCTTAACCTCTGCTATCGCGCAGAAGTTAGGGGAATAACCCAAAGCGCTGCCGACGGCGTGCATACGACGCTGCGAGTGATTAACTGATAAAAGAGCCAGTGGAGACCGCTCGTGACACCACCACTATACGAATTTTTCAAGTTATACACAGATTTCACTGTAAAACGGAGCACCAACGTAAGCTTACTGGCGTCTCGGGGAAGGTGGCGAGACCACTCGACGATAAGTATAGTAGAGTCGAATGCGCTCATCCCCCCCCTTCCAGATGAACAAAGACGGAGGGCGCCTCTATAGTTCTGAATCTGTTTTTTTTTCTTTTTTTGTGGTCGGGACTTCATCTCAATAGTTCAGGTCCTGACCTCTTTTTTTTACTTTTTGGTGTTAAGTGTATATCTGATGTCATAAATGATGCTCTTTATGCCTCCATCTAGCAGTTCGCAAGTCTGTGTTCTTTGTAGTGTTTCTGGAGGATAATGTCGTACCTATATAATGTCGTCTGTATATCTTTATTCTCGATGTACAATATGCCTAATCGTTTATTTAAAACTTTTCGCGCCAAAAGAAATACATGTTATTTACAAACACAGATCAAAAGACGCATCATGCAAAGACATGCAACAAAAGAACACTAAACTTCGTAAAGAAAAGAAAGGTCTGGATCTTAAGTGGCTTTTCAAATACCTCCCAGTCAACGTCCAACCAAATGGCTAAGGGCGCCCCGCGTACTGGCTAGACGTCACCGTCGTCTTCTTCCGAGGAGTCGTCCTGAAAGCCGCTTGGTCCTGGTCTGGGCTCTAGGGTATTCAAATCGTTCGTGTCACCTCGCCACTCGCCGGGGAAGTCGTCCAGTCTGCGACGCTTGCACGGCGGTCCGGCGTCGTCATCTGAAACAGACGGTAAAACCCTACAGACGGTATCAGATCCAGTAGACGCCTCTGCATTACCTACCTCGACTCCAGCGCCAGAAACAGCAGGTGCCGAATCCGCACCATCGTCAGTCGACGCGTCATCGCTCCAAGAATCTTCACTGGACGAGTCATCGCTCGATGAATCGTCGGTTGAGGAATCGTCACACGGGACCCATATCTTCAAACTCTCCGCGAGCAAGACGTAGCGAAGCAGGCTCGACGTGTGCTGCATCTTCCATTGAGCCTGCGAAATAAGATCGTCAATAGTCGGGGCAACGTTGACGGGCATGACGATAAAGCGGTGTACTTACGGGAAACAATACTTTTTTTTTCTCCCAACGTAGCGCACGTGCGTTCAATGCCGAAGCCAGCAGCCGACTGAGCTCTTGTCTCTCTCTCCTTTCACTCAAGCAGTGACGTCACCAACAGCGCCCGCCAATGAGGCCCACTCTCGCTGTCGGAACAGGAGCTGGTTGGCCAAACGAGTTCTGGTGAGGGCAACCACTGGAAAGGCTGGCGCTGCGGTCGCGCTGACGCAGCAAACGATCACACGTGACACGTTCATGCAGTCGTCAGTGTAGCACGCTTCCTTTCAACCCCAAATCAGATAATTTTCTAGCTAACCAGTTTTTTTTTACCGCACGTTACCACAGTGCTGGACACAATTTAGTGAGTCTATAATGAGTCAGCCTTTCCAAAACGCCACCGCAGCGATACACTTGCCTCACGAAATTGAAATTGGCGAAACAAATCAGCCATCATGCTCGGGTGTTAAAATGAGTGGGCAGCCACTTTTTTTTGCGCATCCGTGCATTCGCTAAGAATCTGCGTCTCTTATTAGATTTAAAATATCCCGTATGTATTGAAGAATTGCAAAATATTACCGTGCACCCTTACCTTGATAAATACGTAGCACAACTAGCTGCAATATGACGTTTTTTTTTATTTTGAAACTACTTTCACTAGTTAAACGCCGGAAGGCCTCAAAGTGCTGTCACTAAGTCTTGTTCAAACTTGAGTGCGACGACGTCTATTCCTCTTTATAGTTACGTCCCTCAGTGCATCGACCTGCATTCCATCCAATGCGTTGCTGATGCAGCATTTGCGAAAAGACTTGCGCAAAATATCTTCCGTGAAAGAATTTCTTGCTGACGACACTCAACCAAAAACAGTCGCGGGGCGGTGGACGTCGTATAAGCGCCCAGCATCCACTTATTGTAGAGTTCGCGCACGCAATCTTGCAAGGTGTTTTTGGGCACTACGCACAAAGGCTGGAGAATTCCGCGTAGACGTGGCGATTGTATCTGATACATTAGCGCTGTGCTTAGGGGAAAAAAACGAGAACCAGCGGCGAACATCTTACCACACCATTTCTTCGCATGCACGAAACAAAGAATCCAGTGTTTAAAATGCCGAGTGAATCTGACGTTAAGGCATCTCAAAAAGGGCATGTAGTCTCTGCGGGAGCAGAGCATAGTGAAACCCCTTTGGTTTTCACACTCATGCACCATGCAGACGGCGCAACGACGTTACAAACGTTTAACATTGCGAATGTACTTGGCGGCGTATATAGTGTGCAGGATCTGCCCGTTACCAGCTCCTGCATTCCCATTGGCAATTTAGCTTTGCTTCGAAGGTTCCTGGATTATCCGTACGCAGTTGCTGCCGGCACTTGGCCTACCGGGCTTGTTTTTTGTGCCCGGACTGCAGCATCAGCCCGCCGAATGCGAGCTGTCTCACCTTCTCACTTCCGGCATTCTTCTCGAGTTGTCCGTGGCTCACCCATGTGGAAGGTTACAGGAGAAGCTCTCGAACACGCTCGCCTACCATAACTGTCTATCAAACAGTTAGTGTACCCCGGGCGTACCGTGATAGCGTGAAGTGTGCATGCGCAGATACGTATATGTTACCCGTACCACTTACTGTACGTGCACTATTTAACGACAAACATGGTGACGCTCTGGGATGCCCGCTTTGAAGTGACGTGGTTGTTGAAAGATTCACTTTGTTTGCAGCAAACGACTGCTTAAAGTGCCTTCGCTTGCCTTCAGTTAGCTTCTACGATAGAGCATACAATTAAGTTGGCACAGTCTCTGAGATTGCTGCCCATTTCTAACGTGTTTAGGCCTAACTACAACATCAATGTAAACAAATCGGAAACCTGGAGTTTTTAGCATTTGGTGCGTTGTTCCTATTTATTTACTTTCATTATTAATAAAATCAACGTGTAACAATACTTCGCGCGGTAACACAGGCTGATAATCTCGTTGTAATATCCGTCTCACTTTTCTTATTCATAAACACTTTGATAGGTGGCGCCACCATCCCGTCCGGGGAACGTAAATGCTATACCGCTAAACTATAGGGCACTGTCCGCGATTAATGTTTCCTGCACGGTAACGTCATTCCCTTAACCTCTGCTATCGCGCAGAAGTTAGGGGAATAACCCAAAGCGCTGCCGACGGCGTGCATACGACGCTGCGAGTGATTAACTGATAAAAGAGCCAGTGGAGACCGCTCGTGACACCACCACTATACGAATTTTTCAAGTTATACACAGATTTCACTGTAAAACGGAGCACCAACGTAAGCTTACTGGCGTCTCGGGGAAGGTGGCGAGACCACTCGACGATAAGTATAGTAGAGTCGAATGCGCTCATCCCCCCCCTTCCAGATGAACAAAGACGGAGGGCGCCTCTATAGTTCTGAATCTGTTTTTTTTTCTTTTTTTGTGGTCGGGACTTCATCTCAATAGTTCAGGTCCTGACCTCTTTTTTTTACTTTTTGGTGTTAAGTGTATATCTGATGTCATAAATGATGCTCTTTATGCCTCCATCTAGCAGTTCGCAAGTCTGTGTTCTTTGTAGTGTTTCTGGAGGATAATGTCGTACCTATATAATGTCGTCTGTATATCTTTATTCTCGATGTACAATATGCCTAATCGTTTATTTAAAACTTTTCGCGCCAAAAGAAATACATGTTATTTACAAACACAGATCAAAAGACGCATCATGCAAAGACATGCAACAAAAGAACACTAAACTTCGTAAAGAAAAGAAAGGTCTGGATCTTAAGTGGCTTTTCAAATACCTCCCAGTCAACGTCCAACCAAATGGCTAAGGGCGCCCCGCGTACTGGCTAGACGTCACCGTCGTCTTCTTCCGAGGAGTCGTCCTGAAAGCCGCTTGGTCCTGGTCTGGGCTCTAGGGTATTCAAATCGTTCGTGTCACCTCGCCACTCGCCGGGGAAGTCGTCCAGTCTGCGACGCTTGCACGGCGGTCCGGCGTCGTCATCTGAAACAGACGGTAAAACCCTACAGACGGTATCAGATCCAGTAGACGCCTCTGCATTACCTACCTCGACTCCAGCGCCAGAAACAGCAGGTGCCGAATCCGCACCATCGTCAGTCGACGCGTCATCGCTCCATGAATCTTCACTGGACGAGTCATCGCTCGATGAGTTGTCTCTTGAGGAATCGTCACACGGGACCCATATCTTCAAACTCTCCGCGAGCAAGACGTAGCGAAGCAGGCTCGACGTGTGCTGCATCTTCCATTGAGCCTGCGAAATAAGATCGTCAATAGTCGGGGCAACGTTGACGGGCATGACGATAAAGCGGTGTACTTACGGGAAACAATACTTTTTTTTTCTCCCAACGTAGCGCACGTGCGTTCAATGCCGAAGCCAGCAGCCGACTGAGCTCTTCTCTCTCTCTCCTTTCACTCAAGCAGTGACGTCACCAACAGCGCCCGCCAATGAGGCCCACTCTCGCTGTCAGAACAGGAGCTGGTTGGCCAAACGAGTTCTGGTGAGGGCAACCACTGGAAAGGCTGGCGCTGCGGTCGCGCTGACGCAGCAAACGATCACACGTGACACGTTCATGCAGTCGTCAGTGTAGCACGCTTCCTTTCAACCCCAAATCAGATAATTTTCTAGCTAACTAGTTTTTTTTTTACCGCACGTTACCACAGTGCTGGACACAATTTAGTGAGTCTATAATGAGTCAGCCTTTCCAAAACGCCACCGCAGCGATACACTTGCCTCACGAAATTGAAATTGGCGAAACAAATCAGCCATCATGCTCGGGTGTTAAAATGAGTGGGCAGCCACTTTTTTTTGCGCATCCGTGCATTCGCTAAGAATCTGCGTCTCTTATTAGATTTCAAATATCCCGTATGTATTGAAGAATTGCAAAATATTACCGTGCACCCTTACCTTGATAAATACGTAGCACAACTAGCTGCAATATGACGTTTTTTTTATTTTGAAACTACTTTCACTAGTTAAACGCCGGAAGGCCTCAAAGTGCTGTCACTAAGTCTTGTTCAAACTTGAGTGCGACGACGTCTATTCCTCTTTATAGTTACGTCCCTCAGTGCATCGACCTGCATTCCATCCAATGCGTTGCTGATGCAGCATTTGCGAAAAGACTTGCGCAAAATATCTTCCGTGAAAGAATTTCTTGCTGACGACACTCAACCAAAAACAGTCGCGGGGCGGTGGACGTCGTATAAGCGCCCAGCATCCACTTATTGTAGAGTTCGCGCACGCAATCTTGCAAGGTGTTTTTGGGCACTACGCACAAAGGCTGGAGAATTCCGCGTAGACGTGGCGATTGTATCTGATACATTAGCGCTGTGCTTAGGGGAAAAAAAACGAGAACCAGCGGCGAACATCTTACCACACCATTTCTTCGCATGCACGAAACAAAGAATCCAGTGTTTAAAATGCCGAGTGAATCTGACGTTAAGGCATCTCAAAAAGGGCATGTAGTCTCTGCGGGAGCAGAGCATAGTGAAACCCCTTTGGTTTTCACACTCATGCACCATGCAGACGGCGCAACGACGTTACAAACGTTTAACATTGCGAATGTACTTGGCGGCGTATATAGTGTGCAGGATCTGCCCGTTACCAGCTCCTGCATTCCCATTGGCAATTTAGCTTTGCTTCGAAGGTTCCTGGATTATCCGTACGCAGTTGCTGCCGGCACTTGGCCTACCGGGCTTGTTTTTTGTGCCCGGACTGCAGCATCAGCCCGCCGAATGCGAGCTGTCTCACCTTCTCACTTCCGGCATTCTTCTCGAGTTGTCCGTGGCTCACCCATGTGGAAGGTTACAGGAGAAGCTCTCGAACACGCTCGCCTACCATAACTGTCTATCAAACAGTTAGTGTACCCCGGGCGTACCGTGATAGCGTGAAGTGTGCATGCGCAGATACGTATATGTTACCCGTACCACTTACTGTACGTGCACTATTTAACGACAAACATGGTGACGCTCTGGGATGCCCGCTTTGAAGTGACGTGGTTGTTGAAAGATTCACTTTGTTTGCAGCAAACGACTGCTTAAAGTGCCTTCGCTTGCCTTCAGTTAGCTTCTACGATAGAGCATACAATTAAGTTGGCACAGTCTCTGAGATTGCTGCCCATTTCTAACGTGTTTAGGCCTAACTACAACATCAATGTAAACAAATCGGAAACCTGGAGTTTTTAGCATTTGGTGCGTTGTTCCTATTTATTTACTTTCATTATTAATAAAATCAACGTGTAACAATACTTCGCGCGGTAACACAGGCTGATAATCTCGTTGTAATATCCGTCTCACTTTTCTTATTCATAAACACTTTGATAGGTGGCGCCACCATCCCGTCCGGGGAACGTAAATGCTATACCGCTAAACTATAGGGCACTGTCCGCGATTAATGTTTCCTGCACGGTAACGTCATTCCCTTAACCTCTGCTATCGCGCAGAAGTTAGGGGAATAACCCAAAGCGCTGCCGACGGCGTGCATACGACGCTGCGAGTGATTAACTGATAAAAGAGCCAGTGGAGACCGCTCGTGACACCACCACTATACGAATTTTTCAAGTTATACACAGATTTCACTGTAAAACGGAGCACCAACGTAAGCTTACTGGCGTCTCGGGGAAGGTGGCGAGACCACTCGACGATAAGTATAGTAGAGTCGAATGCGCTCATCCCCCCCCTTCCAGATGAACAAAGACGGAGGGCGCCTCTATAGTTCTGAATCTGTTTTTTTTTCTTTTTTTGTGGTCGGGACTTCATCTCAATAGTTCAGGTCCTGACCTCTTTTTTTTACTTTTTGGTGTTAAGTGTATATCTGATGTCATAAATGATGCTCTTTATGCCTCCATCTAGCAGTTCGCAAGTCTGTGTTCTTTGTAGTGTTTCTGGAGGATAATGTCGTACCTATATAATGTCGTCTGTATATCTTTATTCTCGATGTACAATATGCCTAATCGTTTATTTAAAACTTTTCGCGCCAAAAGAAATACATGTTATTTACAAACACAGATCAAAAGACGCATCATGCAAATACATGCAACAAAAGAACACTAAACTTCGTAAAGAAAAGAAAGGTCTGGATCTTAAGTGGCTTTTCAAATACCTCCCAGTCAACGTCCAACGAAATGGCTAAGGGCGCCGCGCGTACTGGCTAGACGTCACCGTCGTCTTCTTCCGAGGAGTCGTCCTGAAAGCCGCTTGGTCCTGGTCTGGGCTCTAGGGTATTCAAATTGTCTGTGTCACCTCGCCAGGGAAGTCGTCCAGTCTGCGACGCTTGCATGGCGGTCCGGCGTCGTCATCTGAAACAGACAGTAAAACCCTACAGAGGGTATCAGATCCAGTAGACGCCTCTGCATTACCTACCTCGACTCCAGCGCCAGAAACAGCAGGTGCCGAATCCGCACCATCGTCAGTCGACGAGTCATCGCTCCATGAATCTTCACTGGACGAGTCATCGCTCGATGAGTTGTCGCTTGAGTAATCGTCACACGGGACCCATATCTTCAAACTCTCCGCGAGCAAGACGTAGCGAAGCAGGCTCGACGTGTGCTGCATCTTCCATTGAGCCTGCGAAATAAGATCGTCAATAGTCGGGGCAACGTTGACGGGCATGACGATAAAGCGGTGTACTTACGGGAAACAATACTTTTTTTTTCTCCCAACGTAGCGCACGTGCGTTCAATGCCGAAGCCAGCAGCCGACTGAGCTCTTGTCTCTCTCTCCTTTCACTCAAGCAGTGACGTCACCAACAGCGCCCGCCAATGAGGCCCACTCTCGCTGTCGGAACAGGAGCTGGTTGGCCAAACGAGTTCTGGTGAGGGCAACCACTGGAAAGGCTGGCGCTGCGGTCGCGCTGACGCAGCAAACGAACACACGTGACACGTTCATGCAGTCGTCAGTGTAGCACGCTTCCTTTCAACCCCAAATCAGATAATTTTCTAGCTAACCAGTTTTTTTTTACCGCACGTTACCACAGTGCTGGACACAATTTAGTGAGTCTATAATGAGTCAGCCTTTCCAAAACGCCACCGCAGCGATACACTTGCCTCACGAAATTGAAATTGGCGAAACAAATCAGCCATCATGCTCGGGTGTTAAAATGAGTGGGCAGCCACTTTTTTTTGCGCATCCGTGCATTCGCTAAGAATCTGCGTCTCTTATTAGATTTAAAATATCCCGTATGTATTGAAGAATTGCAAAATATTACCGTGCACCCTTACCTTGATAAATACGTAGCACAACTAGCTGCAATATGACGTTTTTTTTTATTTTGAAACTACTTTCACTAGTTAAACGCCGGAAGGCCTCAAAGTGCTGTCACTAAGTCTTGTTCAAACTTGAGTGCGACGACGTCTATTCCTCTTTATAGTTACGTCCCTCAGTGCATCGACCTGCATTCCATCCAATGCGTTGCTGATGCAGCATTTGCGAAAAGACTTGCGCAAAATATCTTCCGTGAAAGAATTTCTTGCTGACGACACTCAACCAAAAACAGTCGCGGGGCGGTGGACGTCGTATAAGCGCCCAGCATCCACTTATTGTAGAGTTCGCGCACGCAATCTTGCAAGGTGTTTTTGGGCACTACGCACAAAGGCTGGAGAATTCCGCGTAGACGTGGCGATTGTATCTGATACATTAGCGCTGTGCTTAGGGGAAAAAAAACGAGAACCAGCGGCGAACATCTTACCACACCATTTCTTCGCATGCACGAAACAAAGAATCCAGTGTTTAAAATGCCGAGTGAATCTGACGTTAAGGCATCTCAAAAAGGGCATGTAGTCTCTGCGGGAGCAGAGCATAGTGAAACCCCTTTGGTTTTCACACTCATGCACCATGCAGACGGCGCAACGACGTTACAAACGTTTAACATTGCGAATGTACTTGGCGGCGTATATAGTGTGCAGGATCTGCCCGTTACCAGCTCCTGCATTCCCATTGGCAATTTAGCTTTGCTTCGAAGGTTCCTGGATTATCCGTACGCAGTTGCTGCCGGCACTTGGCCTACCGGGCTTGTTTTTTGTGCCCGGACTGCAGCATCAGCCCGCCGAATGCGAGCTGTCTCACCTTCTCACTTCCGGCATTCTTCTCGAGTTGTCCGTGGCTCACCCATGTGGAAGGTTACAGGAGAAGCTCTCGAACACGCTCGCCTACTATAACTGTCTATCAAACAGTTAGTGTACCCCGGGCGTACCGTGATAGCGTGAAGTTTGCATGCGCAGATACGTATATGTTACCCGTACCACTTACTGTACGTGCACTATTTAACGACAAACATGGTGACGCTCTGGGATGCCCGCTTTGAAGTGACGTGGTTGTTGAAAGATTCACTTTGTTTGCAGCAAACGACTGCTTAAAGTGCCTTCGCTTGCCTTCAGTTAGCTTCTACGATAGAGCATACAATTAAGTTGGCACAGTCTCTGAGATTGCTGCCCATTTCTAACGTGTTTAGGCCTAACTACAACATCAATGTAAACAAATCGGAAACCTGGAGTTTTTAGCATTTGGTGCGTTGTTCCTATTTATTTACTTTCATTATTAATAAAATCAACGTGTAACAATACTTCGCGCGGTAACACAGGCTGATAATCTCGTTGTAATATCCGTCTCACTTTTCTTATTCATAAACACTTTGATAGGTGGCGCCACCATCCCGTCCGGGGAACGTAAATGCTATACCGCTAAACTATAGGGCACTGTCCGCGATTAATGTTTCCTGCACGGTAACGTCATTCCCTTAACCTCTGCTATCGCGCAGAAGTTAGGGGAATAACCCAAAGCGCTGCCGACGGCGTGCATACGACGCTGCGAGTGATTAACTGATAAAAGAGCCAGTGGAGACCGCTCGTGACACCACCACTATACGAATTTTTCAAGTTATACACAGATTTCACTGTAAAACGGAGCACCAACGTAAGCTTACTGGCGTCTCGGGGAAGGTGGCGAGACCACTCGACGATAAGTATAGTAGAGTCGAATGCGCTCATCCCCCCCCCTTCCAGATGAACAAAGACGGAGGGCGCCTCTATAGTTCTGAATCTGTTTTTTTTTCTTTTTTTGTGGTCGGGACTTCATCTCAATAGTTCAGGTCCTGACCTCTTTTTTTTTACTTTTTGGTGTTAAGTGTATATCTGATGTCATAAATGATGCTCTTTATGCCTCCATCTAGCAGTTCGCAAGTCTGTGTTCTTTGTAGTGTTTCTGGAGGATAATGTCGTACCTATATAATGTCGTCTGTATATCTTTATTCTCGATGTACAATATGCCTAATCGTTTATTTAAAACTTTTCGCGCCAAAAGAAATACATGTTATTTACAAACACAGATCAAAAGACGCATCATGCAAAGACATGCAACAAAAGAACACTAAACTTCGTAAAGAAAAGAAAGGTCTGGATCTTAAGTGGCTTTTCAAATACCTCCCAGTCAACGTCCAACCAAATGGCTAAGGGCGCCCCGCGTACTGGCTAGACGTCACCGTCGTCTTCTTCCGAGGAGTCGTCCTGAAAGCCGCTTGGTCCTGGTCTGGGCTCTAGGGTATTCAAATCGTTCGTGTCACCTCGCCACTCGCCGGGGAAGTCGTCCAGTCTGCGACGCTTGCACGGCGGTCCGGCGTCGTCATCTGAAACAGACGGCAAAACCCTACAGACGGTATCAGATCCAGTAGACGCCTCTGCATTACCTACCTCGACTCCAGCGCCAGAAACAGCAGGTGCCGAATCCGCACCATCGTCAGTCGACGCGTCATCGCTCCAAGAATCTTCACTGGACGAGTCATCGCTCGATGAATCGTCGGTTGAGGAATTGTCACACGGGACCCATATCTTCAAACTCTCCGCGAGCAAGACGTAGCGAAGCAGGCTCGACGTGTGCTGCATCTTCCATTGAGCCTGCGAAATAAGATCGTCAATAGTCGGGGCAACGTTGACGGGCATGACGATAAAGCGGTGTACTTACGGGAAACAATACTTTTTTTTTCTCCCAACGTAGCGCACGTGCGTTCAATGCCGAAGCCAGCAGCCGACTGAGCTCTTGTCTCTCTCTCCTTTCACTCAAGCAGTGACGTCACCAACAGCGCCCGCCAATGAGGCCCACTCTCGCTGTCGGAACAGGAGCTGGTTGGCCAAACGAGTTCTGGTGAGGGCAACCACTGGAAAGGCTGGCGCTGCGGTCGCGCTGACGCAGCAAACGATCACACGTGACACGTTCATGCAGTCGTCAGTGTAGCACGCTTCCTTTCAACCCCAAATCAGATAATTTTCTAGCTAACCAGTTTTTTTTTACCGCACGTTACCACAGTGCTGGACACAATTTAGTGAGTCTATAATGAGTCAGCCTTTCCAAAACGCCACCGCAGCGATACACTTGCCTCACGAAATTGAAATTGGCGAAACAAATCAGCCATCATGCTCGGGTGTTAAAATGAGTGGGCAGCCACTTTTTTTTGCGCATCCGTGCATTCGCTAAGAATCTGCGTCTCTTATTAGATTTCAAATATCCCGTATGTATTGAAGAATTGCAAAATATTACCGTGCACCCTTACCTTGATAAATACGTAGCACAACTAGCTGCAATATGACGTTTTTTTTATTTTGAAACTACTTTCACTAGTTAAACGCCGGAAGGCCTCAAAGTGCTGTCACTAAGTCTTGTTCAAACTTGAGTGCGACGACGTCTATTCCTCTTTATAGTTACGTCCCTCAGTGCATCGACCTGCATTCCATCCAATGCGTTGCTGATGCAGCATTTGCGAAAAGACTTGCGCAAAATATCTTCCGTGAAAGAATTTCTTGCTGACGACACTCAACCAAAAACAGTCGCGGGGCGGTGGACGTCGTATAAGCGCCCAGCATCCACTTATTGTAGAGTTCGCGCACGCAATCTTGCAAGGTGTTTTTGGGCACTACGCACAAAGGCTGGAGAATTCCGCGTAGACGTGGCGATTGTATCTGATACATTAGCGCTGTGCTTAGGGGAAAAAAACGAGAACCAGCGGCGAACATCTTACCACACCATTTCTTCGCATGCACGAAACAAAGAATCCAGTGTTTAAAATGCCGAGTGAATCTGACGTTAAGGCATCTCAAAAAGGGCATGTAGTCTCTGCGGGAGCAGAGCATAGTGAAACCCCTTTGGTTTTCACACTCATGCACCATGCAGACGGCGCAACGACGTTACAAACGTTTAACATTGCGAATGTACTTGGCGGCGTATATAGTGTGCAGGATCTGCCCGTTACCAGCTCCTGCATTCCCATTGGCAATTTAGCTTTGCTTCGAAGGTTCCTGGATTATCCGTACGCAGTTGCTGCAGGCACTTGGCCTACCGGGCTTGTTTTTTGTGCCCGGACTGCAGCATCAGCCCGCCGAATGCGAGCTGTCTCACCTTCTCACTTCCGGCATTCTTCTCGAGTTGTCCGTGGCTCACCCATGTGGAAGGTTACAGGAGAAGCTCTCGAACACGCTCGCCTACCATAACTGTCTATCAAACAGTTAGTGTACCCCGGGCGTACCGTGATAGCGTGAAGTGTGCATGCGCAGATACGTATATGTTACCCGTACCACTTACTGTACGTGCACTATTTAACGACAAACATGGTGACGCTCTGGGATGCCCGCTTTGAAGTGACGTGGTTGTTGAAAGATTCACTTTGTTTGCAGCAAACGACTGCTTAAAGTGCCTTCGCTTGCCTTCAGTTAGCTTCTACGATAGAGCATACAATTAAGTTGGCACAGTCTCTGAGATTGCTGCCCATTTCTAACGTGTTTAGGCCTAACTACAACATCAATGTAAACAAATCGGAAACCTGGAGTTTTTAGCATTTGGTGCGTTGTTCCTATTTATTTACTTTCATTATTAATAAAATCAACGTGTAACAATACTTCGCGCGGTAACACAGGCTGATAATCTCGTTGTAATATCCGTCTCACTTTTCTTATTCATAAACACTTTGATAGGTGGCGCCACCATCCCGTCCGGGGAACGTAAATGCTATACCGCTAAACTATAGGGCACTGTCCGCGATTAATGTTTCCTGCACGGTAACGTCATTCCCTTAACCTCTGCTAGCGAGCAGAAGTTAGGGGAATACCCAAAGCGCTGCCGGACGGCGTGCATACGACGCTGCGAGTGATTAACTGATAAACGAGCCAGTGGAGACCGCTCGTGACACCACCACTATACGATTTTCAAGTTATACACAGATTTCACTGTAAAACGGAGCACCAACGTAGCTTACTGGCGTCTCGGGGAAGGTGGCGAGACCACTCGACGATAAGTATAGTAGAGTCGAATGCGCTCATCCCCCCCCCTTCCAGATGAACAAGACGGAGGGCGCCTCTATAGTTCTGAATCTGTTTTTTTTCTTTTTTGTGGTCGGGAACTTCAATCTCAATAGTTCAGGTCCTGACCTCTTTTTTTTTACTTTTTGGTGTTAAGTGTATAGATCACACGCGAGTTTGTTTTTCGCGCTTACCTGTAGTGTCCTAGACAGCTCACTACAGGGCCCTTTTTACTTATAAGGAGTGTGTTCTTGTTCCTCTCGGCTACCTTTAGTGTGAGTACCGTTGGTGTTTGACTACTCCTAGCAAGTGTGCCTTGTGCCAGCGTTTACTTTACTCGTTTTTAGCCCTTGTGTGTGTGCTTGTTTGCGTTCTTGCCTTCCGCTGAAGTGCGTGTCTTTTGCCTCTGGGCAGCGTGTATAGTTGCGTGCTCGGTTTTTTTTTTTGTAGTACACTACACCACGTGTAGCGAGTTCAGTGACTAACCAGTGCTTTTCCTCTCACGATAACCACCGGCTCTGCCGAGAAGTGCTTCCTTCCAGAACTCTGCCAAATAGTGGTGTAAGTGAAAGTGTGTGTGTGCACGCGAGTGAGTGTTTGCGGGTGAGTGCGTGCACAACCGACAGACCTCAGTCAGCTCCCTTGCACGATCATGGACGACCAGGCCAGGTACAGACCTTCCGAGGATGCGAAGCATACAATTAAGTTGGCGCAGTCTCCGAGATAGCTGCCCATTTCTAACGTGTTTCGGCCTAACTACAACATCAATGTAAACAAATCGGAAACCTTGAGTTTTCGCATTTGGTGCGTTGTTCCTATTTATTTACTTTCATTATTAATAAAATCAACGTGTAACAATACTTCGCGCGGTAACACAGGCTGATAATCTCGTTTTAATATCCTTCTCGCTTTTCTTACTCATAAACACTTTGATAGGTGGCTCCACCATCCCGTCCGGGGAACGTAAATGCTGTACCGCTAAACTATAGGGCACTGTCCGCGATTAATGTTTCCTGCACGGTAACGTCATTCCCTTAACCTCTGCTATCGCGCAGAAGTTAGGGGAATAACCCAAAGCGCTGCCGACGGCGTGCATACGACGCTGCGAGTGATTAACTGATAAAAGAGCCAGTGGAGACCGCTCGTGACACCACCACTATACGAATTTTTCAAGTTATACACAGATTTCACTGTAAAACGGAGCACCAACGTAAGCTTACTGGCGTCTCGGGGAAGGTGGCGAGACCACTCGACGATAAGTATAGTAGAGTCGAATGCGCTCATCCCCCCCCTTCCAGATGAACAAAGACGGAGGGCGCCTCTATAGTTCTGAATCTGTTTTTTTTTTCTTTTTTTGTGGTCGGGACTTCATCTCAATAGTTCAGGTCCTGACCTCTTTTTTTTACTTTTTGGTGTTAAGTGTATATCTGATGTCATAAATGATGCTCTTTATGCCTCCATCTAGCAGTTCGCAAGTCTGTGTTCTTTGTAGTGTTTCTGGAGGATAATGTCGTACCTATATAATGTCGTCTGTATATCTTTATTCTCGATGTACAATAGGCCTAATCGTTTATTTAAAACTTTTCGCGCCAAAAGAAATACATGTTATTTACAAACACAGATCAAAAGACGCATCATGCAACGACATGCAACAAAAGAACACTGAACTTCGTAAAGAAAAGAAAGGTCTGGATCTTAAGTGGCTTTTCAAATACCTCCCAGTCAACGTCCAACGAAATGGCTAAGGGCGCCGCGCGTACTGGCTAGACGTCACCGTCGTCTTCTTCCGAGGAGTCGTCCTGAAAGCCGCTTGGTCCTGGTCTGGGCTCTAGGGTATTCAAATCGTCGTGTCACCTCGCCACTCGCCAGGGAAGTCGTCCAGTCTGCGACGCTTGCACGGCGGTCCGGCGTCGTCATCTGAAACAGACGGTAAAACCCTACAGACGGTATCAGATCCAGTAGACGCCTCTGCATTACCTACCTCGACTCCAGCGCCAGAAACAGCAGGTGCCGAATCCGCACCATCGTCAGTCGACGAGTCATCGCTCCATGAATCTTCACTGGACGAGTCATCGCTCGATGAATCGTCGCTTGAGGAATCGTCACACGGGACCCATATCTTCAAACTCTCCGCGAGCAAGACGTAGCGAAGCAGGCTCGACGTGTGCTGCATCTTCCATTGAGCCTGCGAAATAAGATCGTCAATAGTCGGGGCAACGTTGACGGGCATGACGATAAAGCGGTGTACTTACGGGAAACAATACTTTTTTTTTCTCCCAACGTAGCGCACGTGCGTTCAATGCCGAAGCCAGCAGCCGACTGAGCTCTTGTCTCTCTCTCCTTTCACTCAAGCAGTGACGTCACCAACAGCGCCCGCCAATGAGGCCCACTCTCGCTGTCGGAACAGGAGCTGGTTGGCCAAACGAGTTCTGGTGAGGGCAACCACTGGAAAGGCTGGCGCTGCGGTCGCGCTGACGCAGCAAACGACCACACGTGACACGTTCATGCAGTCGTCAGTGTAGCACGCTTCCTTTCAACCCCAAATCAGATATTTTTCTAGCTAACCAGTTT